GCATCAATAATTCACTTTATCCATTGAAATTTTATCCTTGAAATGTCCTAAACTTCTCTGACAGCCTTTTTTTTTTTTTTTTTTTTTCCTCTCCTTAACTGTTGTCTCTCCTCTGACAGTCATTCTGCCCTTGGGTCTTATATTCTTTTCCTTTCATTTGTTAGCATCTCACTTCCCCAGTGGGTTTGCCTGCTAAAAATAGATGCGCAATTGTCTGAAACTACAAGAGAGCCAAGAAGATGCAAGGCTGTGTGGAAAATCTATGCCGTGGACAGTGAGCCAACCTAGATCTGAGGTGACCCAGGTATGCGCCCAGCTCTAACTTAGCCCTTGGGTCTTATATTCTTTTCCTTTCATTTGTTAGCATCTCACTTCCCCAGTGGGTTTGCCTGCTAAAAATAGATGCGCAATTGTCTGAAACTACAAGAGAGCCAAGAAGATGCAAGGCTGTGTGGAAAATCTATGCCGTGGACAGTGAGCCAACCTAGATCTGAGGTGACCCAGGTATGCGCCCAGCTCTAACTTACTTAGTCATTTGAAGCCAATCATCTGTGCCATCCCCTGATTTTACCATCTGTAAAACTAGGGAAAATAATGTAATTGTATTTACTTTTTGTCAAGACAACAGAATATCTAAATTGCCTCTGCAGAGATCCTACCATGTACGTATTGTCCAAACCAAATACTGGAATAGGTGGTCGGGAAAGATTTCTTTTAGCCTTGTGAAATTATTTAAATAAAAATGATTACAAAAGAAAACATAACCTCCACATTTATGTATGTTTTTACTAAAAACTTCTTTTACTGAAAACAATGAAATGACCTGAAACCAAGTCTAGAAAAGAATATCTGGGGCTGGGGAGCTTTGTTTCCTTTCTGGTGAAGCTGTAAATGACACAAAGTTTAAAGAAAGTCTGTGGTGTGCTGCCGTCTACACCCTCTTCACAGTGATTCTGCTGAGGGTCCTGGCCACGGTCCACAGAGGAGCCGGGTACGCCCAGGAGTGTGTGCCCTGTCCAGCGGTGTTTTGCCTGTGTCTCACTTGTGTGTCCTGACCTCACTGAAGACACGTTATGTAGTTCTCAGTTAAACTACATTGTAACTACATCACAGCTTGACTGGATACTGGATAATGCAAGAAAGGACAACTGAGCTTTCAGCTTTAGCTTTGGATAGCTGATGAGCAAGTCCTACATAGCTAATTAGTAGCTGTAGAAACTTCATAGTTCTTTATAAACTCTAAGGTACTTCCTTCTGCATTTTTAGGTACACAGAAGGAATGGCACTACCTGCAATTTCTAAATGGTAAGTGTGCAAGTTTAATAAGCTATCCCAGAAAGAAAAAAATTAGAAGGCCTTCATTAGCTTTCCATCACTGTGACAAAACACCCGAAAATGAAACCTAAAGGACTACAGGTTTATTTTGGCTCACACTTCAAGAATTTTCAGTCTGCTGTGGGCTGGCTCTATTCCTTCCAGGCCTGTGGTAAGGCAGAAACATCATGGAAGAAGGCCAGGGCAGAGGAGAGCTACTCACTTCATGGCATCCAAGAAGACCAGAGGGTCAGAGCCAGAGAAGATGGGGTGGGGAACAAGACAGAGCTCCCCACAGCATGCCCCATGACCTACTCCCTTCAACTGGGCCCCCTCCTGTTTCCTCTCTTCTCAACAGTGCCATCAAATTAAGAATCTATGAGTGGATCAGTCCATCGATGAGGTTAGAATCCTCATGACCCATCACCCTCTAAAAGCTCATCCCCTGGCAACCACCCCCCATACTCAAATCGTTATAGCCTTTGATGCTACATGAGTCTGAGCACTGAAATAATGTTTTTCTGAATTCGCAGCATGAGCAGCCTCTTAGCTCAATGAGATACTAAGACAAACAGCCCTGGAAAGGACAAAAAGGAAAAGCAGAGATGAGGAGGCACCACGTTCTTGGTGGGCTGCTGTTCTTAGATGAACCACAGCCTCACCTGCTTAGGAAGGCCCTGCCCCACAGCCAGGCTGCCTGGATCACCTGCACTGTGGCTCTGCTGTTCTGAGGGCTTGCTTCTTCTCTTCTGCAGGATCTAGTCGTCTATATAATCCAGATTTTTACTTATGCATTCTCCAGAATAAATATAGGAAAGAATAAAGTAAAATGGCATGTATTCCTTTATAGAAAAAAATTAGGTTCTAGACATTTTCAGTTTGAATTAGCATAAGGATGCATAAGGGTTTACCCACTGAGGGAAACACCTACGGTCCCTTTATGCAGTGGGTAATTGCATCCTACTCTTTATCTCATTTATTAGAGGTTAACTAATTAGCACCCAGCCAGCTGTATCTTTAATTCATTTCTCTGCCTTTTCTCCTAGATTCACATTGTTATATGTCTTCTCTGTAGCACATTCCTTAACCTCTCCACTAAGTAACTGGGGGACAAAATCTGCCTTCTCTTTAGGTGACCAAAGGACCATCTGGATGCCCCCTGTGAGCTGTACCTTCTCTAGCCCTGAGTTGGTGCCTTGAAAATGGACACAGGGTGTATAGCCAGACATATGTGAGTTCTGATACCAGCCTGGTCATTTAGCAGTGGAGACTCTGGATCAGTCTGACCTTCCATTGGCCCATTTTTCTACTGCGAATGTTACTCATGACACCTAGATTAATGTATTATTCAATAAACCTTATTCCCTTTCTCCTGGGTAATGTTTTTAAAAGCTAAGAGATGTCATTGAGGGACCATTTCTGGTTCATCCATTATTCTCTCCATGAAGGTGCACTTGGAAAAATTCCAAATGTATTGGAACACACAGATGGATTTTGTGTCATCAGACCAGGCTCATCTGCCGGCCCAGCTGTTGGCTCAGCTGTTTGCTTGGGTGTGTTTCCACTGATCAACAAGAAAAGCTTCTGTGTTGTGTTTGTTACTCCCTACCATCCTGGGCTGCCCCATGCTCCCAGTTCCCTTGACTTGTCACCATGCCACCCACATTTCTTTTTTTTATTTTCTCCCCATTCCCCTGCCCTCCCTTCAAACCCTCCACCCCTCCCTATCTACAAAGACTTTGTTTCCATTTTTTCTTATCATATTAATTCTATTCCCTTCTTTCTTTTCCCATGCCTATTTCCCCTTCTACTTTGCACCTTTCCTTCCTATTTCACGTTATCTGCCATCCCTTTTAGTCCTTATTTACACTTTCAGTTTCTCACACTAGAGAAGCTATTTGATACTTACACATACGCGTCCTATTTATTTCACTTAAGAGTATCGCCTCAGTGCGCATCCATTTAGCTATAAATGTCTCTAGTTTCTTGTTCTTTATGGCTGAGTAGTCCTCCATTTTATAAATAAGCCACATTTTCTTTATCCAGTCTCCCATTGATGGGCAGTTGGGTTGCTTCCAAGTTTTAGCTATCACGAATTGTGCTGCTATGAACATGGGTGCACGTGTATCACTGTGGTAGGATTCTTTTAATTCTTTACCTCTTGATCTTTCTCTAACCCTTACTGCCTTTCTACATTGGTTTTTTTACCATTTCTTGCACAGTGATGGTCTAACACTGTGTGAGAAACGTCCTTGGTACAGTAATAGCTTCCACTGCCTCAACAAGAAATGTGTCAGACCCCGTAAGGTGCTCAGGTCACGTGGGTGATTGGATCAGTTAAAAATCACCAGTGTTTTCAAGGGGAAGAATACGAGCTTGGCTCACCACACAGGTCACAGTGCAAGGGGAGGACCACTACTTGTTTCTCACTGTCCATCTGCCAAGTGTGCTCAGTCAGCCCAGCTTTTCCTACCACAAGCATGGAGTTTTGAACGAGCACAGTTGCAGAGAAGACTGCCTGGAGCCGAAGCCGTCTTCTCTGTCAGGGAAGGATGCCTGGCCAAATAGCGCCTTGCTCAGCTCCCTGGGCTTTTTTATGTTTCTAGGCAAAGCCTATGTGAGGCCAGGTAAGGCCATGAAGTGTCGCCAACAGAGGCTGATTTAAGGGTAGCACTGCTGTCTCACCAGAGATGGCACAATTCGTACTGTACAACCCAGCCCTTCCAGTTTTTCTGTCCACAAGCAACATTTTCAAAAAAGTACACTCAACATAAAATCAAATTTGTTATTTTGACCACACTTAAGAACAGTTCAGTAGTACGAATTCATGCTCGATGTTGTATAACCACCACTACTATCCATTTCCAGAACTATTTCATTGGGTTAAACAGAATGTGTGATGTGTTAAACAAAGCTCTTCATTTCTCCTGGCCTCGAGTCCCTGGCCACCTCTGTTCTCCCTGTTTCTATTAATTTGCCTTCTCCAGGTACCTAGGATAAATGGAATTGTACAGTCATTGTCCTCTTGTGTCTGGCTGGCTTCACTCACCAGAATGCTTCCCAGGTTCCTTTATGTCGTAGCACATATCAGAATTTCATTTCGCTTAAGGCTGACTAGTATTCATTATACATATATATTACTTTATTAATTTGCTTATTTCATGAACATTTTAGTTGCTTCATGATAGCTTTTGGCTATCATGAACAATGGTTCTATGAACACTGGTTTACAATTACTAGATCATTTGATTAATTCTGTGCTTAACGTTTTTGAGAGACCCCCTCCTTTAAAAAAATCTGTTGCATACTCATGCATTCTATTTAGTTTTTGTAAATTAGCTTTAGTTTTCCTTATATTTTATAGCACAATTAAATATCCTTAAAATATTGCCACCAATTCACTTACAACCCTAACGATATTCTCTGCCTAGCAACACTGGAGGCTCTTTTCTTGGATGCTGACAATATTCCTACAATCCTAAGGCCAGAGCTTCATGTAGACGTCTTGCAACAGGTGTCTGTCAACTTACTAAAAATGCCAAGAATTCTACCCTTTGCCCCAACATGGCCCTCTGCGGTCTCTGCCACATTTGCGTTTTTCACTTTCTTTCCAGTGCTGTGTAGCAGCACACGTCACTGCTGTTGGCCACCATTTCTGGCTTCTCTTCTATGGCTTTGATGCTTGCTTCCCGGATACCCAGCAAGCTGGCTCTGTCTCTGGAGATGTCCATCTGGACATTCAACCTCTGACCACTGCCCTGGCTGGTCAACTGTCCTAGAGCACCCTCCATGGCCTCAACAGGCCAAGAGCTTCTTACATTTGCTGATCCTGCTTTGACTGGCAGGCTTAATCCTCTCCTGTGCTTTGTCGGAACTTTTGACCACACAAGCTGCATCCACTCAGCTGAGACTCCTTAAGACAGCCATGCTGAAATGAGGATGTGTGTCCATGGCCATTCAGCAAAACCAAAACTAAAGGGTCACTCCTTGGCCCGAGGCACGCACATCACATACTCAGACATTTTTTTCCTTTTCATAAGGCATATTTTTCACACTTGTGATGAAATGTAGTTAGAACATATGCTCTCCTAGAATATGAGGTCAGCTGGAGATATTTTTTCTTTTTCTGTTTAACACATGGGAGAAGAGATGGAATAAGCAAAGCATGCCATTATCTATTTTACATATATGTCAGGATAGGCAAATCTAGAGCAGAAATTTTTCTGCGTGTTTGAAGACTGAGTGTAACTTCATTGTTGCTTTAAGGTGAGAGACTTAGAATTAAACTGTGCCTCTCACACCCCCTTCATAGCCTTTGGATTGGGTAAAACACAGAAATAGGTTCTAAAAATGATCAAGATTTTCACTTGGCATCTATCAAGTCTAAAGAATACCAAACTGCAAAATGCTAAAAAAAAAGGTGTTTTTTTTTTTTAAGAGAGTTCCTGTTCCTGTTCCAGTGCCTTTTTTATGATTGATTGACAAATCAAGAAGAATGTTGGAGACGGGCTTCAACCTTCCCTACTAGGCAGCTCTGACCTACCACTTTCTCCCCGAACAAAATTCCCCAAGATTCCCTTGTATTGAAAAAGATGTACTGTGCAAAATTTATTTGTTCTTTTTCTCTTTTTGGTGCTGGGGATTGAACCCACAGCCTTGTACATGCTGAGCATGGACTGTGCCATTGAGCCACACCCCCCCTATTTTTCATTTTGAAACTCTCATTTCCAGCCCCCCCCCTCTATCCCTGGGTTGATTGCCGTGACGGTGAAGCCTTGCATTTCCTCCCCCACTCTATGCAACTCAAAGGGACTTTTCTTCTTCACCCTTTCTGTGGGCGTTAACTCCTTCACTCATGACAGGATGTACTCAAATTAAATACTTGCAAAATTCAGGGGCCACTTTTTTTTTTCCTCCTCCAGTCTGGGTTTCTCCCTTGTCAAAGATCTTTGGCCTGGCATCACTGTGGAAGGTCCAACAACCACCAGGTGATACCTGATCTGGGAGGACCCCAGTGTGGACACGGTACATTTTACTGTGATAATGCAGTCGCCCAGGTTAGGACACAGGAAGAGGTTCCTGGGGTCCCTCCC